ATGAGTCGGTCTGTTTCGGCATTACCGCTATGGGACCTATAGAGGCACGCGTAGACGCGCGGATGGTCGTCGCTGTCCACGCGTAGCCAAAGGATGGACAGGTCCGAACCTTCAAGACTGCCGAGGCGTCGAGAACAGATGTCCTCTCTGACATACACGCAAACTCCAGCCCGAGGCACAAAGGAGTGCTCCAATTTGTACCCCGGGTAGGAGAGATACGAAGTATCAGCCGGAGAGGACACCTGCGTCTCGGTCAGAAAGAGCAAGGCCGGCTTCGCCGTCTCAAGATGGTAGTGGACGGCGTTTAGGTTCGAGTGAAGTCCCCTGATGTTGCAGAAATTCACGGATAGCGTGGCAGGGATCGCCGTGGTCTTGTTGCTCAGTTCGCCCCGAGCAGTTTTTGTGTTGAGCGGAATTTTGCCCCCCCCCAGAATACGCGGGGCAGCCTGAGCACCCACGCTCAGGAGTGGAATAGCATGGTCGTGGATGCTCAGCGAGGGATTCTCCAGGGGTACTGGTACCTTCCTGGGGTAGTTTATGACGTAATTCCGCTACCATGTTGATGGGGGGGGGGGGGGGAATTGGGCCTCCGGTCACCTGCACTCACCAGACGAAACGCGGAAGCAGAGCTTCCACTTCACGCCAGTATTCTGTGAGGTCGTGGTACTAACCCGGCTCGAGCCGGCCCATACGTGCAACAGCAAAAGCTGCTGCAAGGCTCTACCACCGTTAAATCTGCTATTTTACGCTACTATTCTGTGAGATCTTTGTCTTTCCTCGATCGAGACGACCCGTTCGTGCCTCAACCACATCTGCACGTGACTCTTTAATTAAAAATAGATTGAATTATTTTAGAATATTGTCCAACCAACGCTGGGCAGGCATTTAGTAAGCACAGAACCGATAATTTTGATCTGATAATGGTATGCCCGGTACCAGATGTCCGTCAATCAGCAGGGTACACCACGGGCAGGTATTTTAATTCCCATACACCCCACATACCTAATACTCTTATTAACATTCTTAATAACAAGTTGTAATAAACCAGTTGCAATAACTGTGACTTGGACATTACACACGACCTTTGTCTTGTTCATATTTATTTTAAGACTTAACCGTTGGAAAACTCTACTGATGTGTGGCGGCGCTGTCGTCACGCCACAAGCGAAACACATCGAAGCCTAAATCGCGCTAACAAAGTTCCGAAGTTAAAGCAGTATATATAGAATAGCTCCGAACTACCACTCGGAGCGTTGGCCGCTCCCCTGGCAGAACACCTTGCCCGGCGGGAGATCTCCCCTTTTCCTTCCTCTTCCACCCGCCACATAACATAACTATACATAGTAGCTAAGGTGCTTCAGCGATACTGCCATAATGAATAATGACTATATCGTTTGCAAATCGAACGTGATACTCGCCTTTGATATTGATAGCATACACTTTCCTGTCCAGCAGTTCAAAAACGTCTTCGAGTGCAATGGTGCGAATGCTCTCTGTAGTGGAATGGATTTTCTACTCTGGTTCTGTACTCGGATAACCATCGTAAGTCGTAGTCCTACTTTATAAACGCTTCTGTTTGTACAGTCGTTTGACTGCCTTCGTGGAGCAATGGCTTAACATTGCGTTACGGCTGGCGCCTGATTTAGAGTTCTGACGGCCCAATGCAAACTATGAATATGCGTCTCCTGGCATGTTCTGCCTGTACCTGCCTGCCTAGCCGACGAATATTTTTATAATTTACCAGTTTTCCAAACCGCGGTTTCGCCCACGTGTAATCAAATAGGTAATAGGTGTTTACCCGCGGTAACCTTTCCTCAGGATGCAGTCAGTGTATCTCATCGCCTTATTAAAATCTGTTCAGCAGGTGTAAAAAGGTAACAGATATTCAGACAGACTAAGTTCTTTCGCAATTATAATATTAATAAGTATATAGTTATTTTTAATATTCAATTGCATCATGTTAATTCATTATTATTATGGTCTGTAGTAGTCTTTTTTAGAAGAGGGGGTAAACGACTACGCGGCTCACCTGATGGTAAGTGACTACCGCCGTCTATGAACAACTGCAACACCAAGGGAATTGCAGGTGCGTTGCCGGCCTTTTAGAAAAGAGTAAGCTCTTTTCTTGAAGGTCCCTAAGTCGTATCGGTCCGGAAAAATCGCCGGAAAAATAACCGGAAAAACTGCAACTTAAAGCAATTGCAGCTGCATTGCCGGCTTTTTAAAAAAGAGTAAGTTTATTTCGTAGTAAGCTCGGTACGAAAAAATCACCGATGACAGACTTATCCACAAAGAAGTCTTGCAAGAAAGAAAACTCCTAGTTAATCGTATAGTGTTGGACCGCCAAGAATCCCGATGGTGTGGATAGTACCGTGAGTTTAGTCCCGATGTGCGTTGGTGGAAATTGGCATCTGGAAATAATCCGAACAATTCCTCTGAGCACACCCCGTGGTAAATGCGATATAAAATGCAAAGGTATGCAACATCTCTTCACAGAGCCAGTAAATCGAGTCGATCAGATAGAGCTCGGTCATCGACAATTCGAGTCGCTCTGTAAATAATGTAATCACTTTTTATTGTAATAAATTGTATTAAAGACAATCAGTTTGCTATTCGACGAGTGTTTCCCCGAGCTCGGGTAGATACCGCTTATCTTAACTTAAAGACCTTAACTTTGACGCCGATTTCGTGTTCTGCACTTATACCAAGCTATCATTGTTAAATGAATAATAATATTCCACACTTCGTCTTCCCCGCTTCTTCTAATTTGAAACATTTTTTCCGTTCACTCATAACTTTTTTTTAAATATTTTTACAGAACCACTGTTAGTAAGTAGTTAACTTTTTATTATTTTTAAAATATTAGGTCCTTACATATGAAATTTGCGTTTTGTACGGAAGGAATATAAAGTATTTTTTTTTTTGTAAAATATATTTAATTAATCAAAGTATGCGCCGTTGTTATCTATGCACTATTGCCATCTCATAGGTAGTTCAGTGACCCCGTTACTAAAAAAAAACATGGGGGGCGATAATCAATAAACTCTTTGAAGGCGGCTTGGACTGCCGCATCGGAGTTGAATTTTTTTCCTTATAAGAAGCTGTTGGAGCAAGGTCCGGCGAGTATGGTGGATGTCGCATACATTCCAATTGTAGCTCATCTAACTTAGTGGTTGTTTGTTGTGCAGTATGTGGTCTTGCGTTGTCGTGAAGCAGCAGTGGCCTAGAGCGATTGACCAATCTTTGTTGTTTAGCAACTAGTTCTTCCTTCATGGTTTCCAGTTGCTGACAATAGATATATGCCGTAATCGTTTGACCAGATTTTAGAAAGCTGTAGTGAACGACACCGGCGCTAGTCCACCAAACACTCACAAGTAATATTTTCTGAGTCAATTTTCGTTTAGGGCAGGATTTGGCTGGGTCTCTAGGGTTCAGCCATTGCGACGAGCGCTTCCGATTATCGTACAGTATCCACTTTTCATCACAAGTAATGACTCGATTTAAAATCCCTTCATTATTGTGTCGGTTGAGCAAAGTAATACAGCAGTCGACGCGTGTTTGCAAGTTCGTTTCACTCAATTCACGAGGTACCCATCGTTCAAGTTTTTTTACTTTCCCGATTTGCTTCAAGTGGATTAATACAGTTTTATCACTTACCCCGAAGCCTGCAGCTTTATCTCTGAAGTGCTTTGTGATGGATCCGCTTCCACAATAGCCTTTAATTCTTCATTTTCCACTTTGGTCTCCGGTCGTCCAAGGGGTGGGTTCGCAAAACGTTGAAACTAAAAACGTACCGTGCTTTCTTTTGCGACACCAGCGCCGTACACATCATTAATCCTTCAAGCTGTTTCTGCAGCACTGGTGCCACGGTAGAACTCGTACTCGTAAATATACCGATATTTCATGTTTCCATTGTGCGGTAATAAGCGACGCCAAAGAAAAAAATTATGAGGAAAAAACAAATGAATGACTGTTTTCAAAACTCAAATGTACCAGCTAAATGAATTTATGATTTTGAATTTGGAATTCTTAACCAAAGAGGAGATATTTCAGATCAAAGTGGTCAGTACGACAAAACGCTAATTTCATATGTAAGGACCTAATATATACGAGTACGAGTATCATAAAAATATGTCTACTCGGTTACGTTTTACGTTATTACTATGGAAATAAAATCGATTTATAGGTGTAATTAGAATTCATCATCATCGTCATCATTACAGCCCTTCATAAGTCCACTGCTGAACATAGGCATCCTCTAAGGAAAGCCACAATGCACGGTCCTGAGCCACCTGTATCCATCGACTTCCTGCATGTCTTACCATTAAATTAAATTGTATTTAAATAAATTTCTGTAGTCATAATATAAAACTTTGGTTTAATTAAAATAAAATTACATATTATCATCATCATCATCATCATCATCACAGCATTTCACAAGTCCACTGCTGAAAATAGGCATCCCCCAAGGAATGCCACAAAGCATGGTCACGAGCCACCTGCATCCATCTACTTCCTGTATGTCTTAACAAGTCGTCACTCCATCTAATTAGTGTAGCTTTATGGCCGGCCCATTGCCACTTCAGCTTACTAATCCTTTGGGTTATGTCGGTCACTCTGGTTCTACTGCGGATATCCTTCATTTCTAAGTTTATCACACAAAGAAACCCCGAGCATAGCCCTTTCCATAGCGACCTTGAGTGTCCTCATACGACCAGCAGTAAAGGACCACGTCTCAGATCCATAAGTCATCACTGGCATCGCACAATAATTAGAATTGAGTTCTATTAATTACAAAGTTTTTCAAAGGATTGGAAAGAATGGTTCATTTAACTAGAATTATTTATTTTAAATAAAAGTATGATGAAAGTTAATAATAATAAAGAGATTACAGAATATTTATTTAAAGCAACATATTATACAAAATAATATGAAAAATTAGTTTCCTTATAGTGTCGGCTCTCGCTATAAAAACAAAAAATTGATCATTACGAAAAAAATCACACGTAAATTTCAATTTGATAGTTAAGTCCAGAACCCCTGGCACTCTTCAATCGGAGGTTGACGAAAGAAAACCCCACGCCTCCAGCTGTTATGGTGGCCGAAGCCTCCGTTTGCTCTACATCCCTTGCGACAATACCCTGCAAAACCAAATGAGATTAATTCAGTATATTAATCGTAGGCATTCTCTGCACATCTTTATATATAAAAATTACGTGTCACATTGTTTGTACGCGATGAACTCCTAAATTACTGAACTGATTTCACTTACATATTTTATAGGAAGACAAAGGCGCGTCGAAAAAGGCGGAACAACGTCTGTCTGGTTAGCGAGTAATAATATAAAACCTTTCTGCGTTTTGTACGCTATATTTGATGAGAGTTGGGATTTGAAAAAGTTTTGTATGTAATGATTATCTCTCTGCAATCTTAATATTTTTTTAGATTTATTAGCGATTCTTTTTTAAAATATGGTAAAGGGTTCAATTAAGCAGCATTTTTAAAAGAAATAAAACCGGCCATTGTGCGTGTCAGACCACGCACAATATAGGGCACAGAACACAATTACTCTGATGTAGGGTTTCGTAATTGCCCGTCACAATTCCTGAACTTAGATCTTTTTCTTCTTCTCCGTTTTTTGGGTTCGCTGTTTGGTCGCTATAACTACTAAAAATAGGCCCAAATACGACAATGATAACTGAAAGACACATTTTCTACACAGCTTATAGGGAGTGTGACATTCAAAAAGATAAAAAACTTATCGATTTTGAAAATAATACAATATACATCAAATCAATCACATGCCAATACCGTAAACAATTGTCATAGTTCCCAATCCCTGTATTAGTTCCCGGCGGCCAGTGCCATCCCGCAAACACGCAAAACCACCACCACCCTAAACTATCCTGAGGGTTGAGGGTCGCCCGCGTAAACCAAGAGTACTACGAATGAAACTCTAGACCTACAATAACTACTAATTTAAAAATAAGTTAAAGTGGTTATGTCAGGATCGATCTCTTGGCTATTGAGGGACTAGGAACCCCACAAAAGAAAACGTGAAGCCATAGTAGTAATGCATAAGTCGTTAAATTCAAAAAATGTTTAATTTTAACAGTTTACAATAACATTACAAAGTTATTATGCAGCTAGTTTTAGGTCATTTTCTATGGAGTTGTAATGAAATTTTTACTAATCCAAATGCATTATATAAGTTGGTCGACTATTACCTACTCGTTAACTTCTTAATTCTACTAAGCTGTGATAGTTTTCCTTTTAACTTCATTATATTATATACTACTATTGTGTATAATTTTCACATTTCCAAATACAGCGAATTAATTGGTAGGAGGGAGGGGGGGGGGGGACACATGACTCTAATAAAAAATACCACTTTAAAGCTAAATATTTCGCAAACGGACCCCTGAAGCGAAAAAATGGACGGACATAGCGAAAATATGATAAGTTCCTTGTTGTTAAACGACGGAACCCGGTGTAAAAATTTATATTTACCCGGCCCCTTAGCCCGGTTAGTATGTGGCGTTTTTAGATTTAAGATAATCAAAAACTTACATTATATAATTTTTTCGTTTTTCTATTAAAAAAAATCTCCTAGTTTTCGGATATATAGCCTATATCACTCTTGGCATTTGTTGTTGTTGCTCTCTATCTATTCGTAAAGTTTCATTACAATCGGTTAAGCCGTTACGAATATTAGCCGTTAGGCCGGATAGACAGACAAACATTTTAGAAATGGTTCATGTCATAATGGCATGCGAATAATCCCCTCGGCTCACTATAATGCAGATATTTCGATGTTAAGGATAGAAACAACAATTTTATTTTAATGTGTGTAGATTATAAAATTCTGAACAGACAGAACTTAAGGTGATAAACATCGGATTACTAAAAAGATACGTCAATGGGAAAATTATTCTTATAATTATTGGAAGACTAAATAATATTTATTTCGATCTAACATTTGATTTTAACATAAAAAAGGTTTGATTCACGAGAAAGAAAGAGCGAAGAGGATGTAGCGAATTATTTATCTAAATGTATCACATAAGTTATTTACATCAGAGATTAGTGATTGTCTATCAACTTTACAAAGATAATGCAAGTGTTGTAATGGTGTAATGAAAAATAAACAACAATGTATGTATACCATTATTGATTAAAATATGTAAATATACTTAATATAAAAAATACAATTGGAAAAGCTATTTTTACAATTTATTTTAAAATCATCCTCCGATAGATTGCGGTAGAAACATTTCGTATTTAAACCGGATATAAAATTGCGAAACTAGCGACGGGAAGCAGCGAGGGAGGGTAGCGATTAAGGGAGATCTACCTCGCTAAAAGAGATGTGAATATAACCACCACAGGCTATTAACAGGCTTATGAGGAGAAGGGGTATAACCGATGAATCCTTTATATAAAATTTTAGTAAATAGTAATGGTAAAAAAATTTTCATTTACCTTTATTAGTTGCATTGTCGGATCAGAATAGAAAACTTCCTTCACCCGCTTTTTAAAAGGAAAACCCATGTACTCAGCCTTATGTTGCCACACCAGCCTTGTGTTGTACGTTGTGCCCACTAAAAGATCTCTAGCTAAACACGTAGACAGGCAGATTAATAAAACAAAACATAATAAGTAAATGCTCTTCATTTTTCCTAGTGATCACAACCGAGAAATGCCACTACACGATACCAGGAAAGATTGTAAACTGAGCGTGAGCGTGTAAGCTGTAAGCTACAATAACAACTAACCGTACAATAAAATACTTTTTAGATAAATTTGATATCCATAAACTAAGTAATACGGTTCAAATTTAAAACACACTTGCATGGATATTATCATGTTGACAAATGATGATATTCTATTACTCAGAATGTAAACATGTTAGAAAATCAAAAGTGTGCCGTAGGCCGTAACTGATAATAAGATTTATTTATTAGCAACATGTACCTTCAATATTATATAAATTTTGTCACAGAACAAAACATAAGTATGAATCTATCACAGAGAATAAATATGCTCCTGAGATATTAATTTAAAGTTTTTAAACCTCTTACAACTTAAAACGGCGATATGGGTACCGCCCCCACACACGAGGTGTTTGCCGCTACTAGCTTCGTGGCGGATTGGGCTAAGTGCATGCCTTGAAGAGCCACAAGTTTATTGTTTTGTCCAGGCTTGGCTCATTACTAATACAATGCAACGTTCTTCAGTCCTTTCAGAAACATTCAACCGCACACATAAATATAATTATATATACATATAATATATAAATATAATAATAATTATTAATTATTATTATATTTATATATGAACGAGCTGTCATAGAAGCGATAATTACACGTGGAGGAGCCATGCTACAGCTAATATTATGGTTGTAGCATAAATGGGTCGGCTCGACCGAGGAAGGACCACGGTCTCACAAAATACATTATTAACATAGCAGTTTAATGCTGCTGTGTTTCGTATGGTGAACCGAAGACGCTTATTTTTAATTGAAGATAGATGTAGGTGTGTACACGTATGTATAAGCCACGGCGTCCACTTTCGGAACACTTAAGCGTTTGAGACGGGATAGTAAGCAAGCGGCCTTAATCAATTTATCTGCTGGAAAACGGCTTTGTTCAAGAATTTTGAACATAATAGACTATTTCTTAACTCTTATTGCTTGTACTGAAAAAATATTTATTTCTTTTAGAATTAGGATTTCCTTCAGCGCCGAGTACGTAGTAGGTAAATCAGCACTTAAAATTGCAATTAATAATTTCATTGTTGCAGGCTGGGATCGAACTCGGGTTGCTCGTTAAGGGACATAATATGACTGAATGCGAGTAAAAGTTGTTTTTTTACTGTTTATGAGTTTTCATGAAAATTAGTGAACGATAATAGAAATATTTTCAAAATATATTGAGCCTTCTAAAACTATTTTCCTATAAGTGGCATGCTTTAGAGCTACGTGGTAATTTTATATCACGTTTAGTACGCCCTTACAACATCTCTCTATCAGACAAAAGATAAACTTTTTCTTAAAAGTTTAAAAGATACAGAGAGACCAAACGAAACATAGCAGCATTATGCTGCAATTTTCATCATCATCATCATCATTACAGCCTTTCATAAGTCCACTGCTGAACATGGGCCTCCCCCAAGGAGTGCCACAAAGCACGGTCCTGAGCCACCTGCATCCATCGACTTCCTGCATGTCTTACCAGGTCGTCACTCCATCTCGTGGGGGGTCGCCCTACACTTCGCCTACCGGTACGAGGCTGCCACTCAAGAACCTTTCTTCCCCATCGGTTGTCGGTTCTTCGAGCTATATGGCCGGCCCACTGCCACTTCAGCTTACTAATCTGTTGGGCTATGTCGGTCACTCTGGTTCTACTGCGGATATCCTCATTTCTAAGTTTATCACGCAGAGAAACTCCGAGCATAGCCCTCTCCATAGCTCGCTGAGCGACCTTGAGCTTCCTCATACGGCCAGCAGTGAAGGACCACGTCTCAGATCCGTAAGTCATCACTGGTAACACGCACTGGTTGTACAATTTCGTTTTAAGGTTTTGAGGAATGTCTGACGAGAAGATGTGTCGTAGTTTCCCGAACGCTGCCCAGCCGAGTTGAATCCGTCGACTGATCTCTCGGTCGAAGTTGGACTTATCTAGTCGGACAATTTGTCCCAGGTAAACATACTCGTCAACAACTTCGAGCTTAGTGCTCTTGGCACCGCTGAAGGGACTGCAGCACCGCCCAAATTTCGACAGAATCAAAGGCTTTCTCATTGTCCACATACGCGAGGCATAGTGGCAAATTGTACTCCTCGGACTTCTGTACAACTTGCCGAAGGGTATGTATGTGGTCTATGGTGCTAAAGCCCTTTCAGAAACCGGCTTGTTCGGGAGGCTGGAAGTTGTCAAGTCTGCGCACGAGACGATTCGTGATGACTCTCGAAAACAGCACGTAGATGCGGCTCAGAAGGGAAATCGGTCTGTAGTTCTTCAAGAGAGCGTTGTCACCTTTCTTGAAGAACAAGACCACCGCACTTCTGCTCCACGCCTCCGGTGTAATGCCACCATGGAGGACGGAATTAAAGAGCTTCTGAAGGACTTCACGTACCGGTTTTCCACCCGCTTTTAGAAGCTCCGCTGTAATTCCAGCCTCGCCTGGGGCCTTGCCGTTTTTAAGGTGCTGGAGAGACATTCTAATCTCGCTCAGACTGACGTCCGGGATATCTTCGGAATAGTGTCGGATAAGACTCGCTCTTGGATCGTTACTCACACTTGCGTGTGGCTCCAACGATGACGTGTACAGCTGCTACAATTTTACGCTGGTATAATTAGCAAGTTTATTTTTGTTTGTCGGACCGACCAGTTTGAGTAACAACAATAATTTGCAGCATTGTGGCTCTATAACGTTTAGAGGATTAGGTATGTGGAATATGATAGATCTAGCAATCGATCTAATTATTATAGTGTTAATTATGAATTAGCATTTGTATCTTAAAGACGCGAATACACTGTCATAATTAAGATATAGTACAAAATAATAATAAAGTATTATCTACAAAGGACATTGCCAGAATCTCGATAGAACTTTGCCCCACCTAAAAGTATAGTGTACACAAATAGCCTATGCGTAGTTTTTTTGCTGTTTTATTATTTTATCCAAATTTTATAAGTTAAAGTTTCTAGAACTTGCGATTCTTTTATAAATTGAACTTTTATAATTACATTTACCTTAATGTTTTATAACAGCATTCGTTGCATTTAATTGAAATTTCAATCTGTAAATTGTGTCAGGCGCTAATAAAATATGTAAACGGGAATTTTAGGAGCCGAAACAAATTTCCGTTGGGTTTGCATAAAAAAATTATATGATCACCGATATTTAAGAAGGGGTTCTCCTGTTTTGGAATTAAAAGATCCTAATACCATAAGATAACCACCACGTGTTCTTTAACTGGTTTAGGTTTATACAAATATGCTGAATCCGTTACGTAAATATATAATTACTCTTGATGTTGATGCCTCGTTTTCAAAACGTAGACGCATTTCATGGCACCAATCCACACGGGTCTGTTTTTCGTTATCGGAGATCAAACGGGGGATCCATCGACAACAAAGCTTCCTCACTTCAAGATGTTGATGTAGGATGGTATGAATTCTCCCCGAACTACAATCTTTTCCATGCCCGTATATGTGATATACATTTTCTGCTGTTACTGCTGTTTGCGGGGCCCCGGTTCCTTGGTCATCTTTAAGATTAATTTTACTCCTTTTGAATTCTGCAAACAACCTAAAAATTGTTGCGCGTGATGGAGCCCCCTTATGCTGGTTGTAACCGTTGTAAACTTAATTGTTCAGCTAAACCAAATTTAAAATCATAATATATCATAGCGCGCAAATGTTTACGGTTAAGATCCATCGTTTTAGATGAAAAGCGCGGGAAACGTTGCAGGAAAATTAATAGAACTTTGATTTTTTTTAATACTGAGCAATTGACTTATGGAGTTCTATTTTTAAATAAATTTGCTTTTTAGAAACATATAACACGGGTGCGTTCCATTTTTAAATTTCGAGCATCTCAAAACTTATTGAGTGACTTACGCATGGACGTGGATCTACGCAATAACGATGGTCTGCCTCGAAAACATTTTTGTGAATGGTTATTGTCAAAAATTGATACTAGTTAACATTATGTGGACTGACAAAGCCCTATTTACGCGTGTAGGGCTTTATAATAGTCGCAACGAACGTTAGTGGGCACCCCATGACATCATCTACATTATATGATAGGCTATTCAAACTGACTAGGCCTAAAGTTCGAGTCACCCCCCAACTCATTTCTAGTCTTTACTTCCAGTTAATATAAAATATAACTAACATTAATCCTTAATTTTCACAACATTAGTCCTTAATTTTCCTAACAAACTAACTTCTCCTTCCATGAATCTGTCAAATATTTCACCTCATTCCTATGTAGTGCCGCCCTGGTGGCAGAAAAACTCGTGTATGACCTCGCAATATAACTAAATGGGAACTCTGCGTTCCTACTTCTCAGCTCTAATGCTGCAGTCACTGCAAATCTTTGACTACGGTAAATTTGCCGATTTTAAATTATCCCATTATGTGTACAAGTAGGAACTGTCATTGAACTATGAAACTTGTCATTTTTCTACCGACTTCAAAAAGGAGCCGGTACTCAATTCGACTGTATGTTTTTTTTATGTGTGTTATCTCATAACTTTTTACTGGGTGAACCGATTTCGATGATTCGTTGTTATTTGAAAGCTGGTGCTTTACATGTTTTCCCACACACATTTGATCAAGGTCGGACCAATAGTTTTTGCGTTATTCTCAATAATTTTGAATTGAAGTCGGTTGTACAAAATATTTAATTTTAAATTATTACGTGGTAGAGTCACACTACAGCTATATTACGGTTGTAGGACGAATGGGTTGGCTTGCCCGGGGTAGGACTACGCTCTCACAGAATACCAGCGTGAATTAGCTGCTTAATGCTGCTGTGTTTTGTTATATGTAAAAAAAATAGTGTAAAAAAATTCTTTCTTCTAAGCGATGCTACTTACTACCTCCATGACTATAGGGTATGAATCTTTCAGTGCACATGTTTCTGCATTATTGTAATGTTATACT